TCTGCACTTTTTCCCTTAAACGCCGTAGCCTCACTTCTCCCCGCAGGATTACGTCGTCGTGGTGACTATAAATAAAACAAGGGCCGCGAGTTTTCTCTAGTTTGTCTCTCTCTCTCTCTCTCTCTCTCTCTCTCTTGCTGAACCGGCGCTGTGAAAGGCGGGGGCGAGGGATCTAAATATAGCCATTGCTGAGCTGGAAATAGACCCTTGGGTTCTTCCATATTCATGAATGAGAGGACACAGGAGGGAGAGAGAGCTTTTTCTACCTGACGCTTCTATCTTTAGCTCTGCGACGCCGCGAGACCCCCACGGGAGGACTATTCTTAGCCCCACGCCAGGCTAACACAGCGCCACTCCAAGCTAACACATCCCCACGCCAAGCTAACACAGCTCACAGCCAGGACCAGAGAGAGACAAAGTGGGCCAAGACAGAAGTAAAAATATATCTCCAGAGTTGAACATTAAGATTCTGGTGCACACTCAGGTAGACTTGCACAGTTTTTCCAATGTGGTTTTACTGCAGTGGTCAAATGTCAGTGTTGCATTACCAGTTATTGAACAGTAGAAGAGGGCACACAGCACGGGATGAATAAGAATAAAATCTCTAGCTATTGGTCAGGTCGGCAGTGGTCGTTAGTCCTCATTGTTTGTTGTACAGTCTGACAGTAGCAGGAAGGAAAGACCTGCGGAACCTCTGCTTCACACAGCGAGGGTGGATCCATCTGTCACTGAAGCTGCTCTTACTCTATTATTACTGTATTCTTTATTATCCTAAACAGCAGACTCTGAGCGTCAGGGCTTGGGATGAGCTCAAATGTGTTTGTACTCCACAAAATAGCGCTCGGTATAGTCTTGGTATAATCTAGGTATAGTCCTGGTATAGTCCTGGTATAGTCTCGGTATAGTCCTGGTATAGTCTCGGTATAGTCTCGGTATAGTCTCGGTATAGTCCTGGTATAGTCTCGGTATAGTCCTGGTATAGTCCTGGTATAGTCTCGGTATAGTCTCGGTATAGTCCTGGTATAGTCTCGGTATAGTCCTGTTATAGTCCTAGTATAGTCTCGGTATAGTCTCGGTATAGTCTCGGTATAGTCCTGGTATAGTCCTGGTATAGTCTTGGTATAGTCCTGGTATAGTCCTGGTATAGTCTCGGTATAGTCTCGGTATAGTCCTGGTTTAGTCCTGGTATAGTCCTGGTATAGTCCTGGTATAGTCTCGGTATAGTCTCGGTATAGTCCTGGTATAGTCCTGGTATAGTCCTGGTATAGTCTCGGTATAGTCTCGGTATAGTCCTGGTATAGTCCTGGTATAGTCCTGGTATAGTCTCGGTATAGTCCTGGTATAGTCCTGGTATAGTCCTGGTATAGTCTCGGTATAGTCTCGGTATAGTCCTGGTATAGTCCTGGTATAGTCTCGGTATAGTCTCGGTAAAGTCTCGGAACATTGCTCTATTTGGTTCATGTTGAGTTCTACTTTTGTGTAAAACAACATCAAGACAAAACCATCACCTCTGACTTAATAACAGCCTTAAGGCTATATATATATGTATGTATATATAAATACATATACAGTACAGACCAAAAGTTTGGACACCCTCTATCCTTCAATGAGTTCTTTTCATGACTATGGCTGTAGATCCACACCAGGCTGTGTAAGGGCCTGGCCTCCACAGTCACCGGACCTGAACCCAGTCCAGATGGTTTTGGGGCTGGACCACAGAGTGAAGGGGCCAACAAGAGCTAAGCATCATGGGAACTCCTTCAAGACTGTTGGAGACCATTTCAGGTCCTGTTGAAGCTCATCCAGAGAATGCCAAGAGTGAAGCAGTATCAGAGCAAAAGGAGCTACTTTGAAGAACACATATTTTCAATTGTTTTCAGTTTTGAGGCCTTCAGTGTGAATCTACAATTTTGACAGTCATGAAGATAAACAAAACTCTTGAGATGGGTGGGTGTGTCCAAACTTTTGGTCTGCACTGTATGTCTCTCTTTAGACTCATCCTGTTCCTGGCATTCGCCCAGAGCGTACCGTGTTGTTGTTGCTCCCTCACTTCCAGAATGTGTTTTACCTCGTCAGCCCGCCCCTCTCCCCTCCCTCTCCCCCTTCTCCCCCCCCCCCCCCCCCCCCCTCTCCCCTCTCCCCCCTCCCTCCAGCTGCATTCTGAAGTGTCACATGAATGAAGCGCTCGCTGTTATGTAATAGCAGCCAAGCATCTCACCAATGTCTGAGAGGGAGGGGGGAGAGAGGAGGGGAGGGGGGAGGGAGGAGGGGAGGGGGTAGGGAGGAGGGGAGGCGCTCTTCTGCTATAGGATCATTCACGATAATTGCAGGGGATGCGGTAATAAACAGTATTACAGCATAACGTTTTAGTTCCATATGGAGCGTGGAAGTGGGCGGAGCTTCGGAGTACAGTATGAAATGTTATGCTGTAATGATGTTTATTACCGCATTCCTGGCAACCTTTCTGTGGGAGAAGCCTGTGTGTCTATAAGTATGTGATAAAGTGATATATCTCTGTGGTCACAAAGATTTCAAATTCAGACGGAGGTGAAAGAAGCAAGATTGATCTAGTTTTGGAAAAAAATACAGAAAATACAGTTTAACCTTCATCACACAACGACAATTCAATTCCATGTGTTTTTGTACAGCCCTAAATCACAACCGTAGTTATCTAGGAGGACTTTTGTAAGTTGTTGAGTCGCCAACACAGATCAGAAAATCAAAGTTAAAACACAAGAAATGCAATGATAAAAAAACCACATTGGTCTCTGTCTTTATGTACCTTATGCTTTTCCCCATTTGTTTCTGGTCCGTCGCCGTTTAAGTTTGTTTTTAACTTTCTATTATTATTTCATTTTCCTTCACTAAATCCCATTGTTTTGGCATTCCTGCATTTTGGGTCCTGTTTGCTTTTGTTTGCGATCATGACAAACTCGACCTGCCATAGTGGCTAGCATAGCTCTTCTTTACACTCACAGATGTCTAAGCAAGGTTCATTGTTATGTACCGTACTTTCTGGACTACAAGGCGCACCCGTATATAAGCCGCACCTCCTGAATTCCGAAAATAAAATCAGTTTTGTCCACATAAAGGCCGCACCTGAATATAAGCCGCAGGTTTTCATGCTGTAATGTAGCAGAGAGACGACTGTTTTAACTGGACACAACGTGATTTAATGATGAGGAGTTTGACAGATTCACCGTTAGCTTCCATCACTCACTCACCGTTAGCTTCCATCACTCATTCACCGTTAGCTTCCCTCACTCATTCACCGTTAGCTTCCATCACTCATTCACCGTTAGCTTCCATCACTCATTCACCGTTAGCTTCCATCACTCATTCACCGTTAGCTTCCATCACTCATTCACCTTCATCTGTAGCTACTAAACCTTAATGGAGTCACAATAATAAGTCCATAAACTGCTCTGACAACCGCCCGACTCTACCACGATAAAAAGACACATATTAGCCGCATCGCTATATAAGCCTCGGGGTCAAAGAACTGGAAAAAAGTAGCAACTTGGGCTCCGACATTGACGGTGATTATTTTCTCAATAGTTGTTTTTGTTTAGCCTTGAATCCCCACAGTGGTTATGGCGGAGGACTTTACGTTGAGGGACTAATAACGGTGATTTTATTGTTTCTTATTAGTGTCTTATTAGTGTCTTATTAGTGACCGTGATGTAGGGAGCTGTCTCTCTCTCCGCTCGTCCTCGCTCAGGGATCCCCCCATTGATCCGTGCAGGACAGTGAAGGGTGTTCCCAGCGTGCCCCCTCCTCACCTGAACTATTCTTAGCGCCACAGCAGCTAAAGCATCAATACTTGGAGCTAAATTTAGTCTCTCCAGTCAAGAGAGCGAGCTCATTTGAATACAGGCACGTTCTCCAGCCGCCCGCACAAACACAGTCTTCCACCGAAGGACCCCCCGAGAGGCCGCGGTCACTTTAGTTTGGTTTTTTTGATAGACATGATTAGTACAAAGTTAATGGAAAGATGGAATTATGACGGATAATGGCTACGTTTTCATCAGTGGTCTATCAGTTCATCAGTGGATTGATAGATGGATAGAGAGAGAGAGAAAGATGTATTTTTTGTTTATTTCAATTGTGGACATGACAATACATCAAATATTACAATAGATAGATAGATAGATAATTTTGTATGTCATAATGTTGATTTGTTGTTGCTGTTGTTGTATGTCATTCAACTGATGTCTATAGATGTATAGATAGATAAATTGACTTTAATAACAAATGTTCAATGGTTTTACTGAATTTCCGTGCATTTTGATCTCCTTTAGCCTGGTCTTATCCATCCGTACACACCGCTCAATCGTCATTTCCTGCATTTAACGTCTGGGTCTGGTCCCTGGGTTTGCAATTACGTCGGTAGAATTCTATCCGACCAATCAGAGAGAGCGGGAGGCGGGTGTTGTAGTTAGTTGTGGGTGACGTCAAGAGTTTGCGCAGTACGGGCAGGTTGTAGTTTGGCGAAGAATGCGATAGTAAAGTATTCTGTTCTGGTTCTATCAAGAAATTGAAGCCGGAGCAAGAGGAATGTTTAGCAATCTTCGCCACGCTGGCAAAGATTGTGGCGCTACTCCCCACGGGCTCCGTTTGCGGCAAAGGAGATGGCTAAAGCTAGGCTAAATGCTAAATGCTAACAACTTACATACGTCACAGTAAACTCAGACCCAATCGTTTCAATCTGCAAAAGGAGTTAGCCCCTCCCACCTGTTAACGGAGTCAATGGAGCAGATCCAGACCTTAGTATGAAATGTTCTTTGTACTGTGGTGTGGTAAGACCAGGCTAGTTCTGTGCGGTATCGTCAGGCTCTGAAACACTTCCAGCTGTTTCCATTTCATTCCAAACGTTGTAGAAAGTTCTCACATTGTTCTCTTCTTTTCCCGCTCATATTTTCTTCTGATTTGTGGCGTTGGTGCTCAGAGCCGGATTGTAAATGTGTGTGTCTATTGTAAATGTGTGTGTGTCGTTGCAGTTTCGATGTGGAGAATGGTCTGTCGGTGGGACGCAGCCCGCTGGATGCTCAGGCCTCCCCCGGCTCAGGGCTGGTCATCCAAGCCAACTTCCCCCACAGCCAGAGACGAGAGTCCTTCCTGTACCGCTCCGACTCAGAGTTCGACCTGTCGCCAAAAGTCCCGTCCAGGAACTCGTCCGGGGCCAGCGACCTGTGAGTGAGATACAGAACCACACAGCACTACACTCTGCTTCTGTCGTTATGTTTTAGTAGTTACATATATCTGACCTGGACCTGGACTTGGACCTGGATCTGGACCTGGACCTGGATCTGGACCTGGACTAGGACCTGGACCTTGGACCGTGACTTAGACTTGGACCTGGATTTGGACCTGGATCTGGACCTCGACCGTGACTTGGACTTGGACTTGGACTTGGACCTGGATCTGGACCTCGACTTGGACTTGGACTTGGACTTGGACCTGGACCCGGACCTGGATCTGGACTTGAACCTGGACTTGGACTTGGACCTGAACTTGGAAACACCACACAATCACAAACACAAATATCAAAATCCTGGTAAATAAAAATCTTGTTTTATTTGAGTTTTTAACATTTTAAAGAAGAAATATTATGCATTTTCTTTGTTGTTAAAAATGAAAACCAGTGTCGATATTTTATTACCTCGAGTTTTTTGTCTGAGAGTGTCATACTTTCACTCCAGGCTGAGCTCTAGGCTTCTACCACGGGCACGTATCTGACCTCAGCCAGGCTTCTACCACGGGCACGTATCTGACCTCAGCCAGGCTTCTACCACGGGCACGTATCTGACCTCAGCCAGGCTTCTACCACGGGCACGTATCTGACCTCAGCCAGGCTTCTACCACGGGCACGTATCTGACCTCAGCCAGGCTTCTACCACGGGCACGTATCTGACCTCAGCCAGGCTTCTACCACGGGCACGTATCTGACCTCAGCCAGGCTTCTACCACGGGCACGTATCTGACCTCAGCCAGGCTTCTACCACGGGCACGTATCTGACCTCAGCCAGGCTTCTACCACGGGCACGTATCTGACCTCAGCCAGGCTTCTACCACGGGCACGTATCTGACCTCAGCCAGGCTTCTACCACGGGCACGTATCTGACCTCAGCCAGGCTTCTACCACGGGCACGTATCTGACCTCAGCCAGGCTTCTACCACGGGCACGTATCTGACCTCAGCCAGGCTTCTACCACGGGCACGTATCTGACCTCAGCCAGGCTTCTACCACGGGCACGTATCTGACCTCAGCCAGGCTTCTACCACGGGCACGTATCTGACCTCAGCCAGCCAGCTTCTACCACGGGCACGTATCTGACCTCAGCCAGGCTTCTACCACGGGCACGTATCTGACCTCAGCCAGGCTTCTACCACGGGCACGTATCTGACCTCAGCCAGGCTTCTACCACGGGCACGTATCTGACCTCAGCCAGGCTTCTACCACGGGCACGTATCTGACCTCAGCCAGGCTTCTACCACGGGCACGTATCTGACCTCAGCCAGGCTTCTACCACGGGCACGTATCTGACCTCAGCCAGGCTTCTACCACGGGCACGTATCTGACCTCAGCCAGGCTTCTACCACGGGCACGTATCTGACCTCAGCCAGGCTTCTACCACGGGCACGTATCTGACCTCAGCCAGGCTTCTACCACGGGCACGTATCTGACCTCAGCCAGGCTTCTACCACGGGCACGTATCTGACCTCAGCCAGGCTTCTACCACGGGCACGTATCTGACCTCAGCCAGGCTTCTACCACGGGCACGTATCTGACCTCAGCCAGGCTTCTACCACGGGCACGTATCTGACCTCAGCCAGGCTTCTACCACGGGCACGTATCTGACCTCAGCCAGGCTTCTACCACGGGCAGTCCAATCACAGCTGTGTCCGGGTCGCAGCACAATGTTACAAGTTGTAGTTATTCCCGCTGCTGTGATGTCACATACTGTAAAAAAAAAAGAAAAACATCTAAGTGACTTTAAAGGAGCCATACCCGTTTCTGCAGAGGTTTAGCCCCGCCCCCAACACGCTCACAGGCTTCTCATTTCCCCTACGCTCTCATTGCGATCTGAGACGTATGCTAACATTAGCATTAGCACAACTTCTTGTAAGCTGTAAAACAATCCCTGATGAAATGGCACAAAAGCAACGCACTGCTAACACAATATATAACTGAAAGATTACCGCTAGTTTCACGTCCGAATGTCCAAGCATATTATGGTCCGAGCGTAGATAGTCCGAGCATAGATGGTCCGAGCATAGATAGTCCGAGTATAGATAATCCGAGGCGGTCCCGCAGGTCTCTCCCATAGACAAGTCCAGAGGATACGATGTAAGCGAGCTCTGTTCAGGGCTTGGTTTCTTCTTTGATCATGTTTTGGCTTTAGTTCCTCTTCTCTTCCTCACTGTTGTGTGGTTTGGGCTGTTTTGCTGTGTCTGCAGTTACAGACAGAGGAGTTATAGCCACTTATGCTAACATGCTACTGTGTTTAGCAGCGCTGTAGAGGCTACAGGACGCAGCCTCGTTCTGTGATTGGAGGAGAGCGGGCGTCACGCTAAGTCTCTACTCAGCACTTTTTACGCCTGAATTCATACACAGCTGAATCAATGAGCTCAACATTTACATTAAATTACGGATTATAATACAACTTGTAGGTAGTAATAAGCATTTTTATGAACACATTAGAAAATTAATCGAGTATAGCTTCTTTAAAGGAAACATAAACAGAAGAGACGCCTTTATTTTACATTTTAAGTCATTTCTACTGTTTTCCATCGTTTTAACAAAAGCAGAAAGTGAGACAAATACTTTCTTTTGGAGGAGATTGGATTAATACAAGATTTTTGCTTCATCCAATCTCATTACAAACCTTTAGACCCGGTAAATATGTGATTTATCGTGACTTAACTATGACATTAATGCAAATAACAATAATAATCATATGTTTTTCATTGTCATTTCATGTTTTACAAATGCTTAAAACAAGTTACAAGAACTTTGAAACTTACCGGCTGCAAACTCAGCTATGTGACTGTAAAAAACTCACCTGAAAAATTACCAAAACTAATCCATGGACAGAGGACAGAAGGGGCGGAGTTACGTTTTTGTGCTATATATTTCTGATATGAGCATGGATGGATCAAAAAACAGCTCCAGGTCTGTCACTAATAAAGGAACCAATCTTGTAGCATAATTTTAAAAACTCAAAGAAGTCATTTTTTTGCATAATATGTCTCCTTTAAAGTAACAAAAACATAAATAGGCAGAGCTAAGATTCATCCAATATTGTCTTTTCACATAAATATGAAATAAATATAAAATTAGTGGCTATTTGTCCAAAATTCCCAAAAATCTGACAATTGTTTTTGTTTTTAGCTTGTTTTGGTTCTGTACTCGTCTGGTGAACACTGTATTCCAATGTGGTTTTACTGTAAACGGAAAAAAATACGTATTATGTTTTTAACCATTTTTTTTTTTTTTACAAAAGCAGCCCAAGCAAATGTCAAGCAGTGACTGTGTGTTTTTTAAGGGAGGAAAACTTGAAGCACTGGGAAGTCAACTGGTTATCAACTCGGTGAGAAGTAGTTTTCCGAGCCCAAAGATTCCCTCATTATTCCCTCATCATCCCCCCCATCCTTCCTTCATCCCTCCCTCATCCCTCCCTCATCATCCCCCCCATCCTTCCTTCATCCTTCCTTCATCCCTCCCTCATCCCTCCCTCATCCTTCCCTCATCCTTCCCTCATCCCTCCCTCATCCCTCCCCCATCCTACCCTCATCCTTCCCTCATTACTCCCCCATACTCCCCTCCGTATTCCCTGATCATTCCCTTATTCATCCCTCCCTCATCCCTCCCTCATCCTACCCTAATCATTCCTTCATTATTCCCTCATCCCTCCCTCATCCTTCCCTCATCCCTCCCTCATCCCTCCCTCATCCCTCCCTCATCCTTCCCTCATCCCTCCCTCATCCCTCCCCCTTCCTTCCCTCATCCCTCCCTCATCCTTCTCTCATCCCTCCCTCATCCTTCCCTCATCCTTCCCTCATCCCTCCCTCATCCTTCCCTCATCCCTCCCTCATCCCTCCCTCATCCTTCCCTCATCCCTCCCTCATCCCTCCCTCATCCTTCCCTCATCCCTCCCTCATCCTTCCCTCATCCTTCCCTCATCCCTCCCTCATCCTTCCCTCATCCCTCCCTCATCCCTCCCTCATCCTTCCCTCATCCCTCCCTCATCCCTCCCTCATCCTTTCCCTCATCCTTCCCTCATTATTCCCGCATCCTTTCCCTCATCCCTCTCTCATCCTTCCCTCATCCCTCCCTCATCCCTCCCTCATCCTACCCTCATCCTTCTCTCATCCTACCCTCATCCTTCCCTCATCCCTCCCTCATCCCTCCCTCATCCTTCCCTCATCCCTCCCTCATCCCTCCCTCATCCCTCCCTCATCCCTCCCTCATCATTCCCTCATCCCTCCCTCATCCTTCCCTCATCCCTCCCTCATCCCTCCCTCATCATTCCCTCATCCCTCCCTCATCATTCCCTCATCCCTCCCCCATCCTTCCTCATCCCTCCCTCATCCCTCCCTCATCCTTCCCTCATCCTTCCCTCATCCCTGCCTCGTCATTCCCTCATCCCTCCCCCATCCTTCCCTCATCCCTCCCTCATCCTTCCCTCATCCCTGCCTCGTCATTCCCTCATCCCTCCCCCATCCTTCCCTCATCCCTCCCTCATCATTCCCTCATCCTTCCCTCATCCCTCCCTCATCCTTCCCTCATCCCTCCCTCATCCTTCCCTCATCCCTCCCTCATCCTTCCCTCATCCTTCCCTCATCCTTCCCTCATCCCTCCCTCATCCTACCCTCATCCTACCCGCATCCTTCCCTTATCCCTCCCTCATCCCTCCCTCATCCTACCCTCATCCTTCCCTCATCCTACCCTCATCCTTCCCTCATCCCTCTCTCATCCTACCCTCATCCTACCCTCATCCTTCCCCTCATCCTATCCTCATCCTTCCCTCATCCCTCCCTCATCCCTCCCCCATCCTTCCCTCATCCCTCTCTCATCATTCCCTCATCCTTCCCTCATCCCTCCCTCATCCTTCCCTCATCCCTCCCTCATCCTTCCCTCATCCTTCCCTCATCCTTCCCTCATCCTTCCCTCATCCTACTCTCATCCTACCCTCATCCTTCCCTCATCCCTCACTCATCCCTCCCTCATCCTACCCTCATCCTTCTCTCATCCTACCCTCATCCTTCTCTCATCCCTCCCTCATCCTACCCTCATCCTACCCTCATCCTTCCCTCATCCTATCCTCATCCTTCCCTCATCCCTCCCTCATCCCTCCCACATCCCTCCCCCATCCCTCCCTCATCCCTCCCTCATCCCTCCCTCATCCTTCCCTCATCCCTCCCTCATCCCTCCCCCATCCTTCCCTCATCCCTCCCTCATCCTTCCCTCATCCTTCCCTCATCCTACCCTCATCCTTCCCTCATCCCTCCCTCATCCCTCCCTCATCCCTCCCTCATCCTTCCCTCATCCCTCCCTCATCCCTCCCCCATCCTTCCCTCATCCTTCCCTCATCCTTCCCTCATCCCTGTCTCATCATTCCCTCATCCCTCCCCCATCCTTCCCTCATCCCTCCCTCATCCTTCCCTCATCCCTGCCTCGTCATTCCCTCATCCCTCCCCCATCCTTCCCTCATCCCTCCCTCATCCTTCCCTCATCCCTGCCTCGTCATTCCCTCATCCCTCCCTCATCCTTCCCTCATCCTTCCCTCATCCCTCCCTCATCCCTCCCTCATCCCTCCCTCATCCTTCCCTCATCCCTCCCTCATCCCTCCCTCATTCTTCCCTCATCCTTCCCTCATCCTTCCCTCATCCCTCTCTCATCCTACCCTCATCCTACCCTCATCCCTCCCTCATCCTTCCCTCATCCCTCCCTCATCCTACCCTCATCCTTCTCTCATCCTACCCTCATCCTTCCCTCATCCCTCTCTCATCCTACCCTCATCCCTCTCTCATCCCTCCCTCATCCTACCCTCATCCTTCCCTCATCCCTCCCTCATCATCAGAGTGCAGTGTATCTTAAAGGAACCAAATGTAATGTTTGTCTCTTAACAAACAAAACATAGGGTCACACTTTAGCTTAGCCCTCACTAGCTAACGGCTAACGGCTAATTAGTAAATAATTAATGTTTAATTAGCTCTTAATTGGTATTTATTTAGCACTTGTTAGTTCTTATTCTACATCTAACTGACCCATGAGGGTTAGGGCTAGGCTTAACTAATTAGCACCTAATTATCTGATAATTATTGAGGGCTAATCTGAAGTGTTAGCAAACATAGATAACTTAAAGCTAACTTAAATCTATTGTTACAGACGGTTCCTTTAAAACAGGTTGTGTTCATGTTGTAGAATTAAGTGCTTTTGAGCTAAAAGAGCGGTGTCTAAGTATGATTTATTATTATTATTAATATTGTTATTATTAATTTCAGACGGTTGACAGGGAGCTATGTTTTAAAGCTGCGGTACCTGCGTTTTTTGTACTAAATAATACATTTTGTTTCCCCAAACCTGTTTCTCTGGTTTTCTGACTGATTAAGTTGATCTAAAGACAAACTGGAAAACTAGGGAGAGAACCAAATTGTCGACGATTTTTTGGCCTTGTTCTTTTGTTGTTATTTGAAAAGTAGGTACCTCAGCTTTAACCCAACACTGACCCTCATCATTATTTGTTAAATCCATCTATAATTATTTTAACAAACATAAAATCAATTCAACTGAACAGAAACATCTCTAAGACTTAGGCTAAAGGTTTTCTGAAGCTGCTGATCTCCCAGAGCTGTCATTGTGACTGCTCCCATTCAAGTCAATGGGACTCTGAAAAATCGTTTTAAGTATTTTAGTTTTCCACCAGTTTTAATTAAAGGTAAGTCATTTATAACTAACTTTACTCACTTTTATTAACTGCTAAAACTTGTTTATCAAATACCGAAAAAAGTGTGTTGACATGCTAATGCTAACTGCTACGAGTAAACAGCGTGTTGCTATGGTAACTAGCACAGACTAGCATAAACTAGCAGTAGCTTTTCTCTTGTTGAAAAACCAAGATGACTCCACTCAGAACCAGTCCAAGACCAGTCCAAGACCAGTCCAGGACCAGTCCAAGACCAGTGCAGAACCAGTCCAGGACCAGCAAGATACAAGATTATTTATTGTATTTCAGATATTGACAAATGATAATGTACATAGAGAACACGGACAAACATGAGCTGAGTCATTCCAGTTCCAAAACTAAAAGCCGTCATTTTGACTGCTCTGGGAGGTCTGCTGTCACGTTTAGGACAAAGATCGATGAAACGCAACATGTGAACGCAACCTGTGGAGTTACGTGTCTTTTTGTGTCTCACTTTAAATCTACACAAACATCTGAAGGTTTCTGATGCAGAGACTGCGGAAAAACATTTAAGGACATTTATTAACACTTATTAACATTAATTAACATTAGTCTCTGCTCTATGAACCAATGTCTCTCTGTGTTTGTTATTATTGCATTTCCTGAGTTAGAAATGTTTGATTCTCTGATCTGTTGTTTGTGAATCAACAACTTTCTTTGCAAAGTCCCTCGAGACGACTGCTGTTGTGATTTAGGTCTGTGCTAAAATACACAGGATCCAGACCCGGAAGTGCCATCGCTTAGCAACCCCTTTGAACTTTCTCTGGTGTTATTTTAAGGATGGAAATAATGAATGACTTATCAACAGACAATTAGCATGTAGCACGCTAGCAGCTAGTAGCTTCTGAACCACATTAAAAACCATATTGTGTTGCTCCTCCTCTTCCTCCTCCTCCTCTTCCTCTTCCTCCCGCTGGACTCTGGTTGGTCCTGGTTGGTCCTGGTCTGTCCTGGTTCGTCCTGGTTGGTTCTGGTGGGTCCTGGTTGGTCCTGGTCTGTCCTGGTTGGTTCTGGTTGGTCCTGGTTGGTTTTGGTTGGTCCTGGTTGGTCCTGGTCCTGGTTGGTTCTGGTCTGTCCTGGTTGGTCCTGGTTGGTCCTGGTTGGTCCTGGTTGGTCCTGGTTGGTCCTGGTCTGTCCTGGTTGGTCCTGGTTGGTCCTAAAGGCTTATTCAGATCTGTTCTCTGTTGCAGACACACAGAAGACATGATTGTCACACCATTTGCACAGGTGAGTCTCCATCACACACTGAGACAGAGACAGAGACAGAGGCAGAGGCAGAGACAGAGGCAGAGACAGAGGCAGAGGCAGAGACAGAGGCAGAGACAGAGGCAGAGACAGAGGCAGAGGCAGAGGCAGAGACAGAGGCAGAGGCAGAGACAGAGGCAGAGGCAGAGACAGAGACAGAGACAGAGAGATAGAGGCAGAGACAGAGACAGAGAGAGAGAGGCAGAGGCAGCGGCAGAGACAGAGAGATAGAGGCAGAGGCAGAGGCAGAGACAGAGGCAGAGACAGAGAGATAGAGGCAGAGACAGAGACAGAGAGAGAGACAGAGGCAGAGACAGAGGCAGAGATAGAGGCAGAGACAGAGGCAGAGACAGAGGCAGAGACAGAGAGATAGAGGCAGAGACAGAGACAGAGACAGAGGCAGAGAGATAGAGGCAGAGACAGAGGCAGAGAGATAGAGGCAGAGACAGAGGCAGAGACAGAGGCAGAGACAGAGGCAGAGAGATAGAGGCAGAGACAGAGGCAGAGACAGAGGCAGAGACAGAGGCAGAGAGAGAGGCAGAGACAGAGAGATAGAGGCAGAGACAGAGACAGAGGCAGAGGCAGAGGCAGAGGCAGAGACAGAGGCAGCGGCAGAGACAGAGGCAGAGACAGAGGCAGAGACAGAGGCAGAGACAGAGGCAGAGACAGAGGCAGAGACAGAGGCAGAGACAGAGGCAGAGACAGAGGCAGAGACAGAGGCAGAGACAGAGAGATAGAGGCAGAGACAGAGACAGAGACAGAGACAGAGGCAGAGAGATAGAGGCAGAGACAGAGGCAGAGAGATAGAGGCAGAGACAGAGGCAGAGACAGAGGCAGAGACAGAGGCAGAGACAGAGAGGCAGAGACAGAGGCAGAGACAGAGGCAGAGAGAGAGGCAGAGACAGAGAGATAGAGGCAGAGACAGAGACAGAGGCAGAGGCAGAGGCAGAGACAGAGGCAGCGGCAGAGACAGAGGCAGAGACAGAGGCAGAGACAGAGGCAGAGACAGAGGCAGAGACAGAGGCAGAGACAGAGGCAGAGACAGAGGCAGAGACAGAGGCAGAGACAGAGGCAGAGGCAGAGAGACAGAGAGACAGAGGCAGAGATAGAGGCAGAGACAGAGGCAGAGACAGAGAGATAGAGGCAGAGACAGAGGCAGAGACAGAGGCAGAGACAGAGGCAGAGACAGAGGCAGAGACAGAGGCAGAGACAGAGGCAGAGAGACAGAGAGATAGAGGCAGAGACAGAGGCAGAGACAGAGGCAGAGACAGAGAGATAGAGGCAGAGACAGAGGCAGAGACAGAGGCAGAGACAGAGAGAGAGACAGAGGCAGAGACAGAGGCAGAGATAGAGGCAGAGACAGAGGCAGAGATAGAGGCAGAAACAGAGAGATAGAGGCAGAGACAGAGACAGAGACAGAGGCAGAGAGAGAGAGGCAGAGACAGAGGCAGAGAGATAGAGGCAGAGACAGAGGCAGAGACAGAGGCAGAGAGACAGAGAGATAGAGGCAGAGACAGAGGCAGAGACAGAGGCAGAGACAGAGAGATAGAGGCAGAGACAGAGGCAGAGACAGAGGCAGAGACAGAGGCAGAGACAGAGAGAGAGACAGAGGCAGAGACAGAGGCAGAGACAGAGGCAGAGACAGAGAGATAGAGGCAGAGACAGAGGCAGAGACAGAGGCAGAGACAGAGAGATAGAGGCAGAGACAGAGGCAGAGACAGAGGCAGAGACAGAGGCAGAGACAGAGAGAGAGACAGAGGCAGAGACAGAGGCAGAGATAGAGGCAGAGACAGAGGCAGAGACAGAGGCAGAGACAGAGAGATAGAGGCAGAGACAGAGACAGAGACAGAGACAGAGGCAGAGAGATAGAGGCAGAGACAGAGGCAGAGAGATAGAGGCAGAGACAGAGGCAGAGACAGAGGCAGAGAGACAGAGAGATAGAGGCAGAGACAGAGGCAGAGACAGAGGCAGAGACAGAGAGATAGAGGCAGAGACAGAGGCAGAGACAGAGGCAGAGACAGAGGCAGAGACAGAGGCAGAGACAGAGAGAGAGACAGAGGCAGAGACAGAGGCAGAGATAGAGGCAGAGATAGAGGCAGAGACAGAGGCAGAGACAGAGGCAGAGACAGAGAGATAGAGGCAGAGACAGAGACAGAGACAGAGATAGAGGCAGAGACAGAGGCAGAGAGATAGAGGCAGAGACAGAGGCAGAGACAGAGGCAGAGACAGAGAGATAGAGGCAGAGACAGAGACAGAGGCAGAGGCAGAGGCAGAGACAGAGGCAGCGGCAGAGACAGAGGCAGAGAGATAGAGGCAGAGACAGAGGCAGAGACAGAGGCAGAGACAGAGGCAGAGACAGAGGCAGAGGCAGAGACAGAGACAGAGGCAGAGACAGAGGCAGAGACAGAGGCAGAGGCAGAGAGACAGAGAGATAGAGAGATAGAGATAGAGGCAGAGGCAGAGACAGAGAGATAGAGGCAGAGACAGAGACAGAGACAGAGAGATAGAGGCAGAGACAGAGGCAGAGAGACAGAGGCAGAGAGATAGAGGCAGAGAGATAGAGGCAGAGACAGAGGCAGAGAGATAGAGGCAGAGAGATAGAGGCAGAGGCAGAGGCAGACAGAGACAGAGACAGAGGCAGAGAGATAGAGGCAGAGAGACAGAGACAGAGGCAGAGACAGAGACAGAGACAGAGACTAAAACAGATGTAAAGGATAAACATCATGCTGCCACCAGTATGATGTTTCCTTTTTCCCAATTTTGAAAACTACCGACTGAAAACTTACCATTTCAGCTGCGAGATCGATACAACACCTCAGAGATCTGCTCTGAGGTGTTGTGGCACAGGGACAACAGAACACACTAAACAGATATCCTCTTTGTCCTCTCTGTGGGCGGATCCAGGTCCAGCTCCAGATGGTCTGACGAGG